TTCCTTTCCTCTAAAAGGAATATGCCAAAAAAACTAAGGTCTCCGTCTACAGGTATAAGATATGAATTTAAACAGATACTGGTATAATTATCTTTCTCTCCTCCACCTTGATGGGTGTAGGCACTTTTAAAAAAATTCTCATATAAAATCTTTTTTCAATTTAGCGTATGTCTCTTGAGAAATGTTTGAAGCTAAACCAAAGCTACGAGAATATCTTATATGAAAATGAGCCCGTCCACTGGGAGGGTGAAGTTTCTTAAACCAAGCTTTTCAAGTTGGTCAGTAATTGTGTGTTCCTTGTTTTCTGGGTGCCTAACTTGGTACCCTGGGGTCTGACTTACAGAAATGCTGAGCTCCCAGAGCTGCAACTAAAGTAAATGGGAGCTGTGTGTTGAACATTTAAAGTTCTATATTATGCTAAGTATTCTCAAATATCAGGCCCTAAGTGTCTCAAATTGGACACCTAAAACTAGTGGATACTTTTGAACTTAGAATCATAGGACTGGAAGGGACCTCGAGAGGTCATCTAGTCCAGTCTGCTGCACTCATGGCAGGACTAAGTATTATCTAGACCATTCCTGACACGTGTTTGTCTAACCTGCTCTTAAAAATCTCCAATGATGGAGATTCCACAACCTCCCTAGTCAATTTATTCCAGTGCTTAACCACCCTGACAGTTAGGAAGTTTTTCCTAATGTCCAACCTAAACCTCCCTTGCTGCAATTTAAGACCATTGCTTCTTGTCCTATCCTCAGAGGTTAAGAAGAACATTTTTTCTCCCTCCTCCTTGTAACAACCTTTTATGTACTTGAAAATGGTTACTATGTCCCCTCTCAGTCTTTTCTTTTCCAGACTAAACAAACCCAATTTTTTAAATCTTCCATAATAGGTCATGTTTTCTACACCTTTAATAATTTTTGTTGCTCTTCTCTGGACTTTCTCCAATTTGTCCACTTCTTTCCTGAAATGTGGCGTCCAGAAGTGGACACAATACTCCACTTGAGGCCTAATTAGTGAGGAGTGGAGCGGAAAATAAATTTATCTTTTTCTGCCTCAGTTCCCCATCTGCAAAGTGGGGATAATACTCACTTATCTCACATGGATATTGTGAAAATAAAGTAAAGGTTGGATAGCACTTGGATACTACAATGACTGCCATAGAAAAGACTGAGGAAATTAATTCTGTCTTCAGAACAGGGTTTGGATAGTGTGTCCCCAAGCCTTGTGTACTTCACACTTTGAACAATATGGATAAAATAAAATATTAGTTGCTCATTAAGTGCACTCTCCTGTGCACTGAATTAAGAAGTAGTCCTGTGGAAAAAAAATATTATGTAATCATGTAATTAGACTATTCACAATGCCTATGCCCAAGGTGGCCAAAATTAAGGTTGTGCAGGCAATCTTAATTCTGGCATTTACTAGCTGTTGCATACTTGAAAAAATATGCTAACTTTATAATTATTTCTAAAGGGAATTACATTTTGTTTAATTTACTAACATTCAGGGAAACTCGTTGAGAGGTTAGAGTGTAGCTCTTATCCAAAGCTTCTCCCACCATCCACTCCTTGAGATATGAATGCCTTCTGGTAGGTGCAACTGAAGTGGTGTATAGAAATGTATAAGGATCTGTTGAAGTACTGAGTGTCAAACTGGAATGCTGAACTTTTTTAAATAATGGGTAAAACAGAAAATTGTAGTTTTTAAAAAAAAAAAAAAAAAAAAAAAGGTAAGTTGAAGCTGAAAAATCAATCTCTAGATAAGGTGTCTTAATCTCTAAAATTGTGGTAAAAGATGACCAGTTATAAAGAGAGACCAACAGTATGAAGAAGGAAAAAGCCGAGGAAAAGCAAGTGGTTTCACTGGCATAGGAATGTGCCACACACAATCTTTTTTTAAATATTTACTATCTTTGATTTAAGCAAGAATACATTTATATCCTAGGGTGTGTTTATGCCTTATGTCTCTTTGCCCACTTTAACAGGCTTTGTCTAACAAGGTTCTTGCTAGGAGAACTTAGGTTTCATAAGTATCAGGAAAGTAATGAGCAATAGCAGAAGCAAGTAAGCTGTTTGCAGACTGGAGAAGATTCACATTTGAAACTGCAGTACTTAGGTAAGATTAACATATACAAAAATTAATTTCTTACTCCCCCTTTACCTCACAGGTAAGAAAGAAAACTGGTCTTTTCTGTGCCAGTCATTGTAGTATCCAAGTGCTATACAAACTTGCAGGGTGGATTTGATTTAAATTAAATTGTTTTAAATCATGATTTAAATCACTAGTCAGGAAGACTTGATTTAATCATGGTTTTCTACATAAAAGTGCATTCTTGTTGGTTGTTATAACCTTAATACATATTCATCACAACTCAGAGCTAGATGTAGGTTTCATTTTTAGAAGGTACACACTATACATTTTAAAAGTGATTTATTTTGAAGACTTTTCAGATTACTTTTACAGCTATATCAGAAAATGTATGATTGTTCGGTTATTTCATTTACCAAAGGTAATTGAAGCAGATATTTATGAAGTCATTGGGAGGTGAACTATCTCTAATTCAACAGGTTAATCATTTATATTTGAAGGTTTTTCTTGCCATGCTGTATTAGGAGGAGAACATCACCAGACAGACATTTACATTTTTATTTATCTAAAACAACAACATTATGTATTCTGGATTTTTTTTCTTCAGCAGCAAAGATATAATATTTTAACAAAACAAGCATTTGAATTTTTGAATTTAGTTAAACATTCAAGTTTTTTAAAATCAGGTTTGTTTTTGTTAAAATTGTTTTTAAGTAAAATAGTTAAATGAAATATTAAAAAAAAATTAAATCGACTATGTCAGACAGGTCAACACAAGAAACTTAAAATATTGGCTTCTGCAGCTAACTCAGACATCTTCACCTTCATTTTCTGTTTGTTCATAATCTGGAAAAGAAAAACAAGCTTTCCTGCTTTTTCAGGTCTCAAACAATTTCTCAATTTGAAATGAATTAGTCCAAAGGAGGAAAATATTCTTTCTACACTGGCAGAAGACACTACTGCTGTTTAAAGTGAGATTATCTCTTCAACAGTCTCTGAATTCAAGTGCTTAAGTGACTTCCACCAGTTCACTGGTGTGTCTTTCTTTAAAACATCATCAGCAAACATATATTTCTTGAATGTTTCCTATTCCCAAACTGGGTCTCTTTTACCGCCTGCTGCCATTATAGGTTTTCCCTTCTAGTGAGAGAATGGTATGGTAGATCTCAAATCAATGAAGGTTACACTCAGAAAGACCTCAAGACTTCCAGAATATGCTGCTCAAACAGTTTCACTTTTGTTTCTACTGTTTGTCCCTCCCTTCTCACATTTATCTGCAGACTTCTTCTCCTTGTCCAGATCTATTCCGCCCCCAACAATCTTCTATTCATTGAACTTTTTGAGACTTTGTACTTTTAGAGAGAGGTCAGGGATTGATTCTGTGTGCACAAATTTGCAGAGGGACAGTAGGGTTGAGGTCTGCTATTTCTCACCTCTATATTTGATTTATTTAAAAACATTTTTGCTGTTAATAAGTATGTTATCTCTGGAGACACAAATCTACAGTTTGAGAACTGCAAAACTAAGTATCTCTGATGGTTATCTTCTAGACTGAGCACGGAGTCCGATTGGGTAGATAGAAAGATTAACCTAAATAATCTATACAGAAGCCGCTGGAGCCCCATAAAATTGGGTCCCTAATCCATGAACTATTGGAACTCATTTACAAAACTTTTCTTGAACATTACATGAATATATTGTCTCATACTATATAATTAGAATTTATAATCCCTATTCCATGATGAGATACATTATAGCTCAAAGATATCTTAGTTTTTTATCAAAAAAATCCAATTTAAATAAAAAATCAGGTTTTTTTTTTGTAATTGTTGATTTTTATCCACCCTGCAAACTTGACAAGTACTTCATTTGTCAGTTGCAAGTAGGGTTTCCTTACCACTAGCCCTGCTCAATGTGCAATACAGACCCCAAGTATACTTGGGGATGGGAGGGGCTTGTCCTTACTAGGATTTTTTTTTTTGGGGTGGTGTCTCAGTGTACCCAAAGTTCACTACTAGTCCTATCAAGATTACAGAATTGTTTTGTGCTGCTTTTAGTGGGTTTAACTTCAAAACTGGTTGGTATTTTTACCAATAAAAACTCCAGACATATAGTGAATAAAAATTACACTGGTTTGGGATTTACATGTTTTGAATTCTTACTGATCCAGGGTCAAAGTCCTACCAGCTGTCAGGGCTGAGGACTAATGCTCTGTACTCCTGGACAACTGGGAATTTGATTTGTTGAATGATGTGTTATAGACTAGCAAAGTGTGAGATACTGAAGCTCAAAATTATTTCACTTTTAGTAATATGCTTCTCTCTGTCCAGTGTGGTTCTACTTTCAAAAATGACAAAAAAATACATTGTCACATTAGAGTCCTAGTTGCTGACTTAAATGAAGGTGGTAGTGGTGGGGGACGGGTGACTGTAAAATCTGAGGGCAAGTGGAGTCTACCCTTGTCCATCCTCATAGTAGTTACTGCAAGTGAGGGACAGTAATCAAGGCTGCATATATTTCTGGCAAAAATTTAGATTAATCTAGATTGGCTTCACCTGTGGCCTCTAGAAGTTCTCTTGAGAAGATTCTTGAGGCCATTCGGCTGCAATCAACAACTAATTTGCCTTCATCCAAGTCTAATGTATTGATTACTTTAGAGGAGGGTATAATGGAGATGGTGGTTCAACATGTAGGACCTCTCAGAAACAATTATGTAAATTTGAAGTTAAAGAAACTTCTGTGGTAGTTACAACCTCTTTATTTTCAGTTGCAGTTGATCGAAATTGATGAAAACTGTGTGGAAGAAAAATGTTAACGTTCTATGTTAGATGGTTCATATTTTTCATAATGTGGTCAAGGTCACCTAGGCTTCGAGGAGAAATTTGCTTTGTTTTTGTACTGAATTTCTCAGTGATTTCATATAGCCTTGATACTAATTAGAGCAGTAGTGCTGCTTTACATTCTCTCCGATTTAAAAAGTTGTGTTTTTTCTTTGCCTTTAACGAAATAGTGATTCTGGTACATGGTGAACTTTTAGGGTTTGTCTAAACTCACAAGTTGTACCACCACAATACAGGTATAGTTAAAGTGGTATTAACACCCTTGTGTGGATACTGTTGCATTGGTATAAAAGTGCTAATTTGTATAGCTTATTCTTATAAATTGTAGGGGATAAACTATACCAGTATAACTTCATGCACACTAGGGGTTGTACCAATTTAATTATTTCAGTAAAAAAAAAATCACACCCTAATAGAAATAGTTAAATCAGTACAAAACCTTTGTGTGAGTCAGGACTTGGGTTGAATAGTAGGATTTTTTTCCTTTAAAACTTAAATCTTCAGTTCAACTCCACTGATTTTAGCCGCTGATGGAGTACCAGGGTAGAATGGCTGATAGTGTCATATGATTGTACCCACAGGAAGCTGCAATCTGTACTAAAGCTCACAACATTGCTACAGGTGGTAGTTACAATGGCAAAACATCTAAATCAGCGTAGTGTTGACAAAGCATAAGAATCATTAACTAAATCCCTGTTTCATTACATGGAAGTCTCATCTAATATCATGTGACTTAGGGTAAATGATTTTGTATTACACTATCAGTACAAACATATGCTAAAGTATATTCATGTTACTTCTTATCTCACAGAGGAAGGGGGTTGTGACAGTTCAAGCAAATCTTATTGGTGAAGGAGTTTCTATGTGACTTTTTCTAAATAGCCATTTCCTTACTTAACCATACCATTACGTGTGAAAGTAGACTGAACATCAACCTCTCTCAGGAAGGAAAGACTGCAGGGGAGAAAACCTTACTATTTTAAAATACTTGTGGTAAAATTCTGCTTCCATCTTAAGAAGAAAAAGTTGGTACAACATAATGTTATGCTTTTTAGATTGGTATTTACCTGTACTGTGAAAAGTTAACTTCTTTTGTGAGATGTATTTCTCAGAAAAGATTGATATTGAAGATGACATAAATAAGAATGCAGTCATTGCACATGAAGGAATCCCTTCTGGTATCTTGGTGAGTTCTGTCCCTGATATCCTTATTTACTATAAATATAGTGACTTCATTTTGTGTGGCACAGTCAAGTAGTTAATAGTCATAGTGGATCTGTCAGAGAAACATTTAGTTTCAAGCTCTTTTTGAGTTGCAATACTCTTTAGAAAACCTTAATTTGAACTTCAGTGGACTTGATTTGGTTTCACATTCTCTTTCATAACTACATGCTCAACCGCAACTTCTAAATCTTTTTTTTTGTTATGTTTATTTAAGAGCAAAATGTATATTTGTTTTTTGCTATGTATACCTTGGCATACCCAGTTCCTTTGTTAGATATACTTCTGTATATCTAGTTAACTTTTGCTATAAAGAATATGAAGTGACCTAGTTAGAAATTTATTTTTATACGCAAACTGAAAAATGGAGTATAAAGTAAAAATTAATGAAACATTTTAAAAACATTATTTTAAATAAGGATTTTTATTCAAGTGACATTTGGAAGCTGCCAGTCCTCTGTATTATTTATTATAACTAAATACAAGTAAATTATTATAACTAATACAAGTAAATATTATAGCTGCAGTTATAGTTTTGCTGATCTTGTAATTAAATATGTACAAAACTCTTAATTAAAAGTGAACAAGATACTAATAAAAATTATAAATGAGGAACAAATCTAATAAAATTTTGACTAAATGACAATTGTATCCAGTTAAACATAACTCCTACCTAATAAATATGTATTTTTACATGGGCAAAACCAGGTAAATTGAAGAAAATCAAGACTACACTCTTTTTCTTTTCCATTCTTCCCTTTTCTGTAGTAGTAATGAAAAGGAGCAACCCTTTATTACTAACTCAGAAGGCACTCTGCAATAGATACAATGTGAAATCAATAGAACAATTAATTCTCTTATCTATTAAGACCTCCATTGACATTTTTTCATAATGATAGTTATGATTCATTCCCTTTGTAGCGGAAACATCCTGTCAGTTGCTTGTGTGTATATAAAGTGAACTGTGTATCATTTTGATTGAAAAAGTTGTATCTTACAACATGTATTAGCATGTAATACTTTGGATTTCCCAAACAATACAATTAGCTAACCAAAGGTTGCATTAGTAAACCAGATGGAGTACACCAGGATTCTGAGCTAGGTTTTAAAAAATTAAGATAAATTGTTTTTCCATTGTTGCACTGAAGAAATGCCACAAATACACAGGAAGTTTTTCCTCTTCTTGTAGATGCTGTTCCAGTTATGTCACGTGCTTGCATATAGATGTTCCATTAAAAGTTCCTAAACTATAAACAGTGCACATTAATGTACATTGTATTACTTTTGCAGTATTCAAAAGTGTGCTACATGCTTTATGGCAGACAGACATGGTCCCTGCCTCAGACCTCAAAACTTAAATTTGAACTCCTTAAATTTGAGAGTTTCCTGCCGAAGGTGTTTTAAAAATGTAATTTGAACCTCTAGTGTCTAGAATAAATCAGACATGTAGTCTGAGCTGAAAACTCCTGAGTTGTGTCCCATTTGCCATTGTGAAAGCTACTCGCCTCAGTTCCTCGAACTGTAAAATCTATTTTACAGGGGCGTGGAGAGTTAATTTAGTTAATATTGGTTTAAGTATCTTGCGCGTGGAACAAGCTATGCTACATAACCTAGCTATTTTTAGTTTCATAAACATGTGGCTTCATTTCCAGAGTAAGTAACTTTCCCCCTAGTTCTGTATTTACTGTTACAATTTGTCTTAATAGAAGATAGAGCAGGCAGTTTCAACTTTTTGAATTCTGTCATGGCTTTTTGCCTGAAAAACCTTTAATACTGTAGGGCAGTGTTTTCTGGCGATGCTAATTTTTTTTTTCTTCCTGCTTAGAGCCACAGCATACTCCACCAATATTTGAATATTTTCAACTATAGAGAATCTTACAAATGCAAGCATATAACTTAAGCGTTCAAAAACCAAGACCTCTTGAGCATTAAAAATTACAATAAGTTCCCCTCTGCTTTGGAGCCCTCAGTATTGCTGAGCCTTTAAAATCTCCTGTTAACTCAGCAATATTTTTATTATTGACTAAAATTTAACTTTTGGCTATTACTCAGAAGTCAAGAGGGAAGAGTTTGAACGCGGCAGGTAGCATGCATGTTCTGAGTCCCAGGGACAAATGAAAGCTAAAATAATTTTTTTTTTAAATGCTGTCACATTCATTAAGCCTATCTCAGCTTTCCCAGCAGACTCTCACCTTTTATACCAGCCATGGAAACTAGACTGCTTTTAGGTGGTTCCAAAGAAGATGAAGAGGAAGCCATGGTTTCTTTCTTTTCTGTCTGCAGTCAAGACAATGTGAGATTTTAGCCATATAAGCCTGAAAGTAAGAGGGGAAACATTACTGCAAAAGTTTCCTTGTAGCATTTCTAAATCTGTGGTCAGAACTGCTTCTCTCACACTGGTGAAGCATCTGCATGTATTTAAGCAATGACATTGCTGCTACTTATCAAATTCAGTACTACTTACTTTAGGCTTTCCAGAATGCTCTTTGAACGGCTAAATCACAATAAAAAAAAAGATCCAGAAAACCTGTGGTCCTCTTGACATATTGAGACTCCGGGCAGCTATACATTCTTAGATATAAAGTGGTGTTTTGACCCCTACTTGATCAATTTCATGTCCCAATTTGGATCTACTAAAATAACTAAAGGTAGTTTTCATTACCCCAAGTAAGCTATTCTTAAGAGCCTGACTTCTAAAATGTAGTCTCTCTTTTTTGCACTTGAAACTTAAATACCTGATTTGCAGCTTATTTAAAAAACAAACTGGACAATTCATATATAACAAAGATAGTTGAGTGGCTTTCAATTTTGATAAATGTTCTTCATGACCTTCAGTGTTACATCTGCTGTTTTGTAAACATAATTCTGCTGTTATTGCTACAGTAAGGTAGCAAAAATGCTTATTTCTAGAAGAGATTCCACAAGCTTCTTTATTGCAGCTGCATGTTGGTCTCCATAATTCTGTCATGCTGCTGTGCATTTGCATCTCTCTTCCCCCCTCCCCCCTGCTTCTGACGGCTTGTCTACACTACAAAATTACAGTTGATCTGTAGCCTCCGATTTTACAAAATCGATGGTGTATGTCCCCACTATGTACATTCCGTCGGCAGAGCGCATCCCCACTACCATTGGTAGCATCGACTCACAGAGTGATGCACTGTGGGCAGCTATCCCACAGTTCCTGCTCCCGATTGGTATTCTGGGTTAGGCTCCCAATGTCTGATGGGACAAAAACATTTTCGTGAAGTGTTTTGGGTACATATCGTAAGCCTCCCATGATGCTCTTGGCTCCTCCCTCCCTCCCTGAAAGCAACAGCAAACAATCATTTTCGCGCTTAAGCCTCGGTTACTTGTGCAGACGCCATAGCACAGCAAGCATGGACCCCGCTCAGCTATACGCTGTTGTTGTGAGCATCACAAACTCCTCGCGCGTCGTCCTGCGATATTTGCAGAGCATAGTCAGAAACAGCCTCGCGGAAGAATGTGATGCCACACAAATAGCTGTGCTGGAAGCCATGGAACGGAGCAATTTGCACATACTGGCAGCAGCAGCCAAGCTTGTTGACACAGTGGAATGCCCCTTGTGGGCTAGAGAAACAAGGACAGACTGGTGGGACTGCATCGTGATGCAGATATGGGATGAGGAGCAGTGGCTGCATAACTTTCGAATGCTTAAGGCCACATTCATGGAACTTTGCAAATTGTTTTCTCCAGCTCTGAAGTGCAGAAATACCAAAATGAGACCTGCTCTGTCAGTTGAAAAAACGATAGCCCTGTGAAAGCCTGCAACGCCAGATTGCTACCGGTCAATCGGGAATCAGTTTGGAGTGGGTAAATCTACCGTGGGGGCTGCTGTGATCCAAGTAGCCAGGGAAATCAATTCACTTCTGCTAAGAAGGGTAGTGACTCTGGGAAACGTGCAGGACATAGTGGATGGCTTTGCTGCGATGGGGTTTCCTAACTCTGGTGGGGCGACAGACGGAATGCGCATCCCTATCTTGGCACCAGACCACCTTGCCAAAGAGTACATAAACCAGAAGGGCTACTTCTCAATGGTGTTGCAAGCACTAGTGGATCACAGGGGTCGTTTCACCGACATCAACGTGGGATGGTCGGGAAAGGTACATGATGTGCGCGTCTTTAGGAACTCCAGTCTCTTCAGAAAGCTGCAAGAAGGAACTTTCTTCCCAGACCAGAAAATTACCATTGGTGATATTGAAATGCCAATAGTTATCCTTGGAGACCCATCCTTGGAGACCCAGCCTACCCCTTGCTCCCGTGGCTCATGAAGCCGTACACTGGCAGCCTGGACAGTAGTAAGGAGCAGTTCAACCAGAGGCTGAGCAAGTGCAGAATAGTGGTAGAATGTGCCTTTGGATGTCTAAAGGGGCGCTGGTGCAATTTACTCACTAGGTTAGACCTCAGCAAAAGCAATATTCCTATTGTTGTTGCTGCTTGCTGTGCTCTACATAATATCTGTGAAAGTTAAGGGGGAAAAGTTTCTGCCTGGGTGGGGGGTTGAGGCAGATCGCCTGGCTGCCAATTATGAGCAGCCAGACACCAGGGCAATAAGTAGAGCACATTGAGGTGCACTGCATCTTCGAGAGGCTTTGAAAACCAGTTTCATGAATGATCCAACACTGATGTGACAGTTCTGTGTGTTGTTCCTTACCAACCTGCCCCCTTTTTCACATGTACTGCCCTGTAAACTAAACCCCCACCAACCACAGTGTGCACAGTGAATAAAGAGCCTCTTGTACTCAATTCATGCATTTTTATTATGCTAACAAACACAGAACAGAGACAGCAATGAGTAGCAATGATAACCAGGTAAGGGCCTGATAACACAGGGAGGGAGGGGCAAGGACATGTAACTTATTACAATTGCACTGTCTAGCAATAAAAGCTGTGGGAATGAGAGCTTTCTGCTCCATGAACCATCCCCTGGAGTTGAGTTCAAGGGATAACGGAACTCTTCCCCTTCCTCCCCTCTGTATTCTAGGACATCTGGGAGAGGAGGATATGGAACTTGGTGAGGAGAGCAGCTGGTTCATCATTGGGTGCAGCGGGGCTCTACTGTCTAGCTGCCTTTCCTGCACCTCAACCAGATGCCTCAACATGTCTGTTTGCTCCCCCATGAGCCGCAACATCTCCTCATGCGTGTTACGCTCTTGTTCCCTGCTTGCTTTTCTGCCCTCTTGGTCAATGCGCTTGCTCTCTGAGTGTGAGAGCCTCCAGGCATGGAGCTGGGCCCTGTCAGCCTCGGAAGAACGCATCAAATCACGGAACATGTCTTCCTTTGTCTGCTTTTTTCGCCTTCTAATCTGGGACAGCCTTTGTGCTGGAGTGGAGGAAGCACCCAGAGAAAATGTTGCACCTGCAAGGAGAAGAATATGTTGTTGAAAACAAAAGGTTAACTGTTGCAATGAATGAAACAATTCACAGCAGTAAATACATTCCCTAAGGTACTCTGCCACTACCCGCCCTCCTCCCCCTACTTCGGAATTCGTAATGGACTCCGTTGTAGAGAAGGAACTGAGGAGCTCGGGCTGTGCACGCGCTATTCAAACACTGACAGCTCGAGAGGCGTGCACAGCCTGTAGAGGTACTGTTGTACAAATCTGTGACTGAAGGCTCTGGGATACACCTTCACCTGAAGTGTAGCATCCACAGGGACACTTATCTCGAAGAATGTCAGTTATTCTCCTGTGCATTCCCCTCCTCCTCCTCTTCCTCATCAACAATGTCTTCCTCGTTGTTGTCTGTGGCCGTCTAGGTCCCCTGGGAGGTATCCACAGAGTGTTGGGATCCTGGTGGGGTCTCCGCCTAGAATCGCATGCAGCCACTCTCAGAAGCGGTTCACCGTCCCGGGCCAATGGGGGCAGCGAGAAGCGGCACGGGCAAGCGATGTGCTGGCCGCGGCTTCCCGCCGCCCCCATTGGCCCGGGACGGCAAACCGCGGCCAGTGGGGGCCGCGATCAGCCGAACCTGCCGCGTCAGCAGGTAAATAAAACTGGCCCGGCCCGCCAGGGTGCTTACCCTAGTGAGCCGCTTGCCAAACGTTGCCGACCCCTGGTTTACACTCTTTGTGTATGAAAGACTATCTTCATAAACTTAAGGTATGGAAATTCATTTTTTAAATAAAAGCTTAGGTTCCGTAGAAGTTGAGAGCAGTCACCAGAAAAGTTGCCTACTTGTCCCTGGTGAGTGGGTTTTTCAAGCCTTATATTAATAATGTTGGTAGCTGGATGTTGATGTTTCTCTGAACATGTTATATCGTCATCTATTTTTAATTCAGATATATTGTCTCCAGCAAGTAATTTTTAACTGTCAGAAGTATGTTGTCTCATCTAGCTACAATGGCTGGTCTTCTGTTGTAACTTTTTTCTATTTAAAAGTGAATTGAGGCATCTGTGTAAACTTCCTTAGAGTGGTTCTGCTTGTCCCTTTATTTCAGGTAAAAATCTTTCTTATTGCACTCTGTGACTGCTGCTGCAGATGAATGGCAGCACTTTTCCTAAAAGCTCTGGAAAGGGTTCGATACACTGAATGTTTTATGTTGAGAGAAGTCTTGACACTGCATATGTGTGGTGACTTTACTAGCAAATACATACAGTTCCTGCTTCAGAAGGCAGTTGTTTAATCTTGTGTAGGAGGAGGACTAGACTTCTTATCTGTCTTCCTTGGTTTTGTTTCACTTCTGTTCTACATCACTTTGCCTTCCAAGTAAGTCACTGAATGTAAGTAACTTTCATACTCTTATAATTTTTTTAACTTTGTTTATAAATTAGTGTGGTGAAAATGAAGGAAGAACCAGACATTGTGGAGGTACCAGAAGCTTCTCCATACAGTTCTGTCAATATGTTGTGGTGTTGACCTGTGACATTGTTGTCTTCAGTAAAGATTGTCTGAACAATTGTATTAAAAATATTAAGATTTTTATGTAGGCAGTCCTCTGAGAATGAAACAGCCACACTGGGTTCCATTGAGAAGCTAAGCAGGACTTGAATCTAGGCCTTCAGAATTGAAAACAACATAAATTAGAAGTCTCTTTTAAAATAGTTTTTAAATAGTTTTTCATAGGTTAGCTTAAATTCTTTAATATAGGTTCATTTTGATATCTATGTGAAAACTGTCATTCTGTTTTGTGGAGGAGTTCAAAGTTCAGTCAGTGGAGTGCCTGTAAAAAGACTTGTGCTAATTATGTGGCTTATAGTAAACAGACTCGTTGATAATTAAATGATATTGCAAGATTAAATTTGGTACAAATATCTGACTTAATTTTTTCCTTTTTTTTCTTTCAGTCTCAGACTATGAATTACGTGGGACAGCTTGCAGGACAAGTTCTAGTTACTGTGAAAGAGCTATATAAAGGCATTAACCAGGCCACTCTTTCAGGATGCATCGATGTAATTGTGGTTCGGCAGCAGGATGGTACATACCAGTGTTCTCCTTTCCATGTCCGATTTGGGAAGCTTGGTGTTCTGCGTTCTAAGGAAAAAGTGGTAAGTGTAGCAAATGGCATGGGCCTGGGGAATGGACCTGTCACTTGAAAGAAAATATAAATATATATATAAAAAATAAAATTATATATTTTTTCCTGTTACACATGCACAACCTGCAGCAATGCTGAGGCCAGAACACTTTCACACACAGGCGGTATAAGATGATGGTTTTGAGGTCTAATAGACAATCTTTGGCTGCACAGTCATCTGATAAGGAATGTATCACTGCAAAGATAAGTGTGTGCAGATCAGGAAGGAAAGATGAGATTTCTGAGAGCTACCCATTAAGCTATGAAAACTTAATATGAGCCCAAGGGATGTATAGTCTTTCCATGGCCTTAGACTTTTGGGAGGTTTTCCGAGTGCTGCTAGCTGAAGAAACATGGATCCAAGTGGCTGATTGTAGTACTGGGACCTCAGTTATTGCAGATTACTTATGCTTAGGGACGTTTATGTGTTAGTCATTACTCTCTTCCTCCTGTAACTTTCTTGATGCTATAAGAAATGTAATCAATACTCTGACATTTTATAGCCATCAAAGTTGCAAAAGAGTCTTATAACATGTTCAGGGGGTTTTCTCACACTTCAGTCAAATCTACCAGTTTGTCTCAAATGCAGGGCCGGCTCCAGGCACCAGCCGACCAAGCACGTGCTTGGGGCGGCACCTTAGAAGGGGTGGCCAATGTTCGGATGGCGGGGGGCGCTCGCGGTGTTTTTTGTTTTCGTTTTTTGTTTCGGTCGGGCAGCGCGGAGGGTGTTTTGGCAGCGCGGGGGGGAGGGGGAGGCGG